GTAGACTCTGCCCACTCCCCCATAGTGGCAGGATATCTGGGCACAGAGAGCTGAACTGCCCTCTCCGGGTCCAGGCCCTCATCTTCTGTTGCCCGGCCCTTCTGGGGAGTCATACCACTGCTCCGCAGACCCCTGGTGCTCCCTCACACCCACAGACACAGGCACTCACATTTTAAAAGAGCAGAGGGCAGCAGCAAGGGCTATGGGATTGAGAAGTCAACAGAATCCCAAGACAGTAGGTTCTGTTTAGGCCCCAGCTTCCTCATCTGGAAAAGCATGGGACCCTTGGTGTCATTTAGGGTCCTGCTCAGCTCTGCCACTCTGTTCTGGGACACCAGTTCGGGCAGCCCCTCTGGCCTTTGTCTTGTTTGGGGACTGGTTTATTGTGAGAGGCCTGTCTCAAGCAACAGCTTTACCTCTCTTGTTTACTGCTGTAGAAGCAGTGCTTGGAATGGTGTCTGGCACAGAGAAGGTGCTTGGAGAACAGTTGTATGACTGCAGGAGCATGCTGCCTTTGCTCTGCCCTTTAGCCCGGAGGAGCCTGTGTGAAGACCCAAGGGTGGGTAGGTACAGGGTTATCAGCACCTCCTCCAGGTCTCTGGAGGACCCTAGAGACACACATTTGAGTTGGATGGAGTCAACCCAAGGATAGCTGAAGGAAGTGAGTTTTGAGCCAGGTTGTTTTGGTTTCTTCCAGCCTTTCAGGAAGGTAAGGCCAGCTGCAGTTTTCCTGGGGAAATCTGGATGGACAGGAAGAAGCCCCCTACATGTTTGGGAAGGCCTCAAAAAAGAGGGGCTCGGGCCTATAGCTGAGAGCTGCACAGTAAAGGGAGATTGCAGGGACAGGGGAGAAGGAATTAGCAGAGAAAAAAAAAAAAAACAAGCAAAAGGGAAGTGGCTGGATAGAAAGGCGCGTGCGGATGAATTTTAATGCAATCAGAAAGCTGTCATAATGATAGTAAAGGAGCACATTCGGTCGTCAGGAGAGGCGAAGGCAGAGCACTTCAGCCCCAGCATTTAAATCAAGCTTGGGCAGAGGAGGAGCCTTCTCTCCCTTTCCTTTTTATTTCCAAGGGAGGAAATGGAATTTTTAAGCAGGAGGGCCAGGAATTAGCAGGGGGCGGGTTTTCATTTCTTAGTCTTTCTGGAAATCCCATTTAATCGGAGCCTTTAAAAGGCATTGAGGGGTGGGGGGTGGGTAGAGGGAGCGCTGGGCCTCTCCTGGAGAGGAGAGTTTCACTTACTCCACTAAAGGAGTGAAAGCTCCTGTTTCACTTCAAGCAGATTATTGTGATTGCCTCTGGGGAGTCAAATGTAAAGGCTCCCAGCCCCCTGCTCGGTCTCTGTCCTTTCTTTCTGCCCATCTCTCTTCTTTCTGCTCTTTGTCTGTTTCTAATTCTTTTTCCTCTGTCTCCTGCCATTTTCTCTCCCTCTCCCTCTCTGTTACTAACTCCATCTCCTTCCATCCCTCTTCAGCTTCACCCCTTCTGCTCTCTTCCTTCCTCTTGGTTTCCTAGTCCCTGCTTCCTGCACCCCAGAGCTTGGAGTTGGTGAGCCAGGGGGACTGTGCCTGGAACCCTGGAGATGGGGCGGGCGTGTGCCCCAAGCTCCTGCCATGCCCCAGGAGCCAGGCAGAGCAGCCCAGGCTGGGGCAGGTGATGGCGCTGGAGCTCCAGGCCCTAGAGCTTTGGCTGAAGCTCAGCAATGGTGGAGGGCCAGGCTGGTGTTCCCTGACCCAGAACTGGTCACAGGAACTGACAACAGCACCCTGCAGGTTACAGGAGGAGCTCGACCCAGGGCCACCTCATCGCTGAGAACTTGCCCAGTGCTGAATGCATCTGGGCTGAGAGGTCCCAGCAGGACAGAGGTCAGAGCTTCCTGTAGAGGAGGCCTCTGGGGTAACTTGTGAAGAAGTGCAGGTGCCTAGATGCTTCCTCTGCTTTTCTCCAGACCCCAGAACAGCCTGGCAGTTCTATGTGAACTTTCCTGGTACTGCAGACGAGGTGGGGCTCAGAGGAGGCCTCTGGGGTAACTTGTGAAGAAGTGCAGGTGCCTAGATGCTTCCTCTGCTTTTCTCCGGACCCCAGAACAGCCTGGCAGTTCTATGTGAACTTTCCTGGTACTGCAGACGAGGTGGGGCTCTCTGGGGTAGGGGTACCTACCACCCTGAATACAGAGTCCATGAGTGCCTTTATGGCTGTCTGCAGTTGCTAAGGCCTGCATTTCTGCAGCCTTGGCTGTGTGTCAATCATTTAACAGTCCAAAAACATCTAGTGAGTGCCTACTGAGAGCTGCCACCACTGGGAACCTATTCCAGTTACTACGGCTGCATACCAATTTAGCCCAAAACTAAGTAGTGTAAGACAACTGTTTATTATGCGCACAGATTCCATGGGTCAGGAATTCACCAAGCACAGCACAGAAGGCCTGTCTCGGTTCCAGGATATCTGGGTCTCAGATGGAAGACTCAAAAGCTGGGAGCTGGAATTAAGTCATTCTCTTGCATGTCTGGTGGCTGATGTTGGCTGTCAGCTGGAGGCCTCAGTTCCTGTTCATGTGGACTCTCCGTGAGGGTTATGGGGGTTCTTCACGGCATGGTGGCTGGCTTCCACAGAGCAAAGATACCCCAGAGAGAGGGTCAAGTGGAAGCTGATCACTTTTATGACCTCACTTCGGAAGTCACCTGGCACCACTTCTGCCATTTCATTCTTGGTTAGAGCACTCACAAGCCCCATTGAGATTCAAGGAGAAGGAACAAGGACCCCACCTCTCAGAAAAAGGAGTGAAAATCTCACCGCAATAAGAGCACATAGGATGGGGATCCTTCTGCAGTCATTGACAAACTGCTACAGATACACATGGCCCAATGTGACCGCTGTCACTCTGAGCACACAGCTGAATGGGGTCAACAAACCACCTACTCATCATAGGTGTGTGAGGCTCCTGAGGCACCTTTAGGAATAGGCTGCCCACAAATGCCCAGGGCTGAATTTTGCAGAATGAACAAATAGCCAGGGCTAGACTAAGGAGGGGCATTCAGACCGAGGTGAAACATACAAGACAGAAAGGAGGCACACCCCTGGGACAGTCAGAGAGCAGGCACTCATTCATTCTTTGCTCATTCCATAACTATACGCAAAGCCTACTATGTGCCAGGCACTGTTGCTTCAGCAGAGATGCCTGGTCTCTTTCCCCA